AACTGTCTGCGGACAGAAGGCGCAGGCCGATGTTAGCTTGTGATGATGTCAGCTTGTTAACTGTGACTATGAAGAACTTTGTGATGTTTACACATTGAAAGGTGACACTGGAACAAAGCTTGACTTCCTTTTACAGCTGCAGATGCCTCCATTTCATGCAACGCTTTTGGAACCATGCCGCGAGGAGCAACAGCTGGGCGGCGGGCAAGCGCCACCGAAACGGGACGCTTTTATTCTCCTTTTTAGCGTTGTCGATAAATGGTCCACCGGCAGCAGTCGGCGTCCCGCTCCCACCGGATGCTTTGTGCCTTTATCTCTCTGAACACCAGCACTCATCCCATAATTGCCCCCTGGCATTCACCAGCCTCCCCACTGGGGCAGGTCAAAGAGACGGTGGACGCTGCGAGGCGCAGGTGCTGGACGGGAACCCCTGTAACCTCGTCCTCCGTTCTGGTGAAATCCAAAACTTCTAATCCCCTCCTTTGTCAGGCGACAACCGATAAGACGACGGCGAAGGGGCGAACGACAAATATACCACTTCAGAGAACATTAAACTGACATTAAACAGTCTAAGCCTGGCCGCAAAGCCCGTCTTTAACCTGAAATCTAATTATCTAATCCTCCATTAGAGCATCCTGACTGTAAACAGATCTAAGTGTTCACACAACACGAGGAACCCGGAGCCCCACATACACACAAAGCAAAAAGGTTCGCTTTCAGGCTCGTACGGGGAGATCGCTTTGCTAAAAACACGGAGAATAATCCGCCGCTCAGCAGCTGCTTGCCAGCGCTCGAATGTGTGTATTGTGTGTTGAAACAGTAGTCCACCTGTTGCAATAAGCGGGCCAAGAGTCACTGGCAGAGCCCGCTCTCGTGTTTGCTGAGTGTGTGTGTGTGTGTGTGTGTGTGTGCTGCTGTTAACTTGTCTCCTGGACCAGCTGGGATTCGATGGCTGTCCCTCCAACTGGACCGCCGCCCCAACTCGCTGTTCCGCTTTCTTTCAGTTCCTCTTCCACCTTGTGTCTTCCTCAGCTCCCGCTTCAATCCGTTGTTCATAACCGACAGACAGGAGACTTATGGAAATACGTGTTCCTGAAATGAATTTAACTGTAACATCTCGGTCCAGCTGTTCGTTCCTGGTTGTTTTTGCAACCAGGAACCCCCCTAAAATTTGGCAAAATGGAAGGGGGAGAGGGCTTTGCGCACGTTTGCAAAGGAAATGGAGCAAAAAGTCATAGCATCGGCTGAATAAAGTCATGTGGAAGGATGACGTTTAACGATAAAAAAAATGAAGTAAGAAAAAGCTGAAATAATAATAATGACAAAAAAATGAAGTAAAATGTGTTCCAGAAATCTCTGGATCACTTTAAACACACCAAAGCGCACGGTGGTGGCGGTGGCAGCATTATGCTGTGGGATAAACCGAAACGCGAACACACAATATTCTGGGACTCGACTCTCTCGATGCAAATGTAAAAAAGAAATAAAAAGAAATTAAAGCTATTCAAACAATAACGTCAGAACGTTTTCTTCTTCTTCACACAGAGGTAATTTATTAATGAATCGCCTCCTCTGAGTCACATGCTTTTAAAAGCCAGCGGGTAATCACTGACTAACACAGACCTGTGTCTGGAAATTAAATAAGGTCTCTTAAGTCTCACACACACACACACACACACACACACACACACACACACACACACACACACACACACACACACACACACACACACACCTTGTGAAAACAATTCCAGTCTTGATTTTATCTTTTGTGTGCGTGTGTGTGTGTGTGTGTGTGTGTGCGTGTGTGCGTGCGTGTGCGTGTGTGTGCGCGCTTGTGCCTGCTTCGCTACTCGCTGGAAGATGGAGGTGTGAACTCGCCCCGCACCTGTTGCCCCCGGCTGAGTCGGGTTACCTCCCCTCTCCGTCCGCGTGTCGCTCCATCCACTCACTCACTCTTTTAAATAAAAGATACAGACACTGCTGTATCTTTTATTTACAGTCAAGCTACACCTGTTTATTGTGCTTACAGATGTGTGTGTGTGTGTGTGTGTGTGCGTCGGTGTGTGTGTGTGAATGTGGGGGGCCGATATTTTGCCACTTAATGAAATGAATATAACCTCACATTACCATTTTCATTAAGGGTAATTCAATCCTTCAATTAAAACAGCCCTTTCTGAAAGACGCTGACACACACACGCGCACGCACACACCAGCGCTGTATGTTTACAGCCAGTCTACACATGCACTTAAAGCTAAGTCACTGTGAGCTAGCTTTCATTTGAGCTGGCCGACCGGCTGTTTAAATCCCCTCGGTAACCAAAGCCGAGGGGACGGCCAACACCTGCCGGACGCCTGTTTAACAAACCGATCCAGCTGGAGAACCGGGTTCCACCTGAGCTACACACACCGCTCTGAGAAATAATAATGCATGTGTGTGTGTGTGAAATTCTTAAGCTTCTCATGTTTAAAATAAGAGAGTTCCTTTTTACCAGAAGTTTAAAGGTAGATATACAAAAACTCCTGTTGAATTTATGGGAGACTCTTCTGTAAAGATTAGGCTTTAAAATCTTTACAGAACCTGGAATAAATATAGACTGTATGGACGGATCAATGGATAATCGACGGACGGACGGATGGATGATTGACTAATCAATGGGTTGGAGGCTGAAATGCTTCATATGGATGAGAAAATCAATCAAAGACGAGTTTTTATAGAACATTTCATAAAAAACACCTGCAGTCAACAATCGAGAAACCAGTAGCAAATAATACGCGTCAAACATGTTGATCAATGTTCCATTTATTATCTGGGGGTCCAGAGCAGAACCAGAACCAGATTAAAGTCGATTCTTTAAAGTCGGAGGAAGAACTTAAGAATCACAGGCAGAAAAGGAGGAAAGAATGAAGATTCACAGATGGACGGATGGCTGAATATCCACTGACAATCAGATGAATGACCAATAGATGGTTGGACGCAAAGCAAGGAAGGATGAGAAAATGAAAAATAAAAAAAAATCTGCGCTTTCCCATAGCATGATGCTGCCTAAACTGTCACATAAAGCACCGTTAAATCCAGGCTTCCAGGATCGGCGAGCAGCTTCACGCAGCGTCGACATGACTCCTCTGAAGAGAGGCACAAGCAAAACACAAACGCAAAATTCAGACGACTCCAGACGTATTAAAGCGTGTGTGAGGCAGCAGTGACACAGCTAGGTGCGTGCACGCATACACACACGCATACACACACAAGGCCATATGGTGCAGGCAAGCAGGTGGGCGGTCACAAAGACCGGGTGTGGAGGTTTAGGGCCCGGCTGTGGCCTTTAAGCCACTTGGGGCTAACAGGATTAGGAGGCGGGGTTACTAAAGGCCACGCCGCTGGCTGGGACACAGCCGGCCGCCTTCTGGATGTTTGGAAACACGCAGGCGGAGGTGAAACGGGCCGCGACCGGAGCGAGAGCTTGCCAGCGTTCGTGGGCACGCGTCCATCGTGCTGCGACGGCTAATCTGGGCCGGCGCCCAAATGCTGGGGAGAGCAGGGGGGGCAGCGGAGGACAAGAACTGGGAGAACGCAGCTAAAGTTTCTGAGCTGCAGGCGGACGGTGGAGCATTATTCTGCGACACCGAAGCTCCAACTGTCCACCTCGTCTCACCCAAGTCTTCCTGTCGTACCGTTATCCTTCCCAGTCTGAAAACTGTGTGAAAGAAGCTGCTGTAAAGTTTAGTTTACTCATTCTAAAATGTTCATGATACATATTTTTGATAACTATTTATTCACCAAGGAGGTAGGCCGCAGGATAAACTTATTTTGTCATGTCCCCCTTTCTCGTACTTTTATACATTATTCTTAATTTAAAGCTGCAGTACATGAATTTGATTAAAAAAATATATTTCTTACATATTTGTTGAAACTGTCGGTGTCATTTATGAAACAGATAATCTATGAAAACAATTTCCTCCACCTCTGCTATTGCCATCTGAAGAAGTGCACCACTACCTGTCAAAAACAACCAATCAGAGGCAGGAGGAGGGGCTTAGCGTTGCCAATCAACCAGTGAACAGGCTGCTAAATGTGCCAATGGCGGAGAAACATTCGACTGCTACAGGAAAACCGTTTCTCCGTAGTCACCGGTGGCTAGGCTAACTAGCACGATGTATTCACCAAACATGTTCTAACGTCTGAGTTAGAACATGGTGTCAGCTTATCAGCAACACAGCATGATGAACGAATGTCAAAATGGTTCAGTTTTTGTCTCCTCTGACGAGACAGCTCGGTCCTCCCAACACGTCACTCTTTTCTTCCTGCTACTCTTCCAAAAAATAAAAAGCCACAATTACAAAGTGCAAGACGATAGTTTGGGTTATGTTTGATGCGTCCACGAAGTCGTATTCCGTCGTTTCAGCAACTACGTGTTCCTCCGGTGGAATCTCTGAAACTACGCGGACAGCTGCGTGCGGAAAAACATGGCGGACGAGCAAGAACTTCCTTCCACCCACCAGGTGCACGGCAGTCAGACCTCTGTTTGACTTTTGTCGCTATATTTTGCAGCTATTCTGACTAAAACCAGAGCAAAACAGAATTGGCCAACGTCAAAATCGGCAGGTAATTTTTTTTAAAGATCGGTGATTGGCCAGAAAGCTGGAATCGGTGCATCTCTATTGGTTTGTAGTCGTGACAAATGAGTTTCAAGTCGCAATGGGTTTTGTTTCTGCAAAGTACACCAAAGTTTGTGTTTCTCGTGTGGGGATTAACAAAAAAAAGACGTGAAGCCACAGGAATACTTTTACAAGCTTCTCTGTATCAAAAGGAGAGCCAGAAACAAACACGCATTTTCACAATAAAATACAGTCTCACAGAGACTCTTTAGGCGTTTAACAAGGTGCCGGAAGCTCAGTTTGTGAAACAGAGACTGATCATGAAGATTCTCCACTCTGAAGGAGAAAACACACACACACACACACTCACTCACACACAGTCTACTCAGACAGAAACTCACGTTTGAGGAAACGGTTTCGGACCCACTTATTCTGTTTGCGGGCGTAGCGCCTTGTGGCGATCTTCAAAGCTTCCACGCCTGAAAAAGAGTTCAAAGAGGGAAAAGATGAAGCAGAAACAACGAACAATCAACCAGACCGCAAAACCGGCGAGTGTGAAGTCTAGGCAGGTGTTCCTCTGACCTTTGTCTCTCAGCTTGTTTTTCTCCTGCTGGCTGCTGCTCTCCGGAGCCGTCAGGTAGTCGTGGAACTCCTTAAAGCCGATCGACTGGAAAATCCCGTGTTGATAGTCTTGGCTGCGGGAAGCAGAGGAAACACGACCCGTCGATATGTAAACTTTCCTCCCTTGACGTGACATTTATGGCGCCGGTGATTCAGATCTCATTTTCCTTCCCCTCCATCACTCCTTCCAGCCCCACATGCAGATGTCAAAAAAAAAACCCTCCCAGAAATAGAGTGACTGGCAAAAAAAAAATAGAATAAATAAACAAAAATCATCTGAGCGTAGGAGACATGATGACCCACAGGTGGTAAAACTCAGCAGGCTACTCTCCCAGCAATAAATACTCAACTTGTTTACAGACACAGACTGGATCAGACACTAAATGCTGAGCACAAATCAGAAATTGGTTGTGATAAGATCTGAGGAATCCAGAAGGAAGTTTGTAGGAAGGAAGTCTGGTAAAAAGTTCTCAAAAGAATTGGATCTCAGACATTTCACTGTGGGAGTCGGCAATTAGAGGGATAACATGCTCAGCCCAAGTTATTTCACCTGGAGAGGAAGCTGCAAAATGCTGAAAGAAGTCTCCAGAAACCCAAAAATACCATCACAGGTCAATACAGCTGCTTTTTTTTTTTTTTTGCCGTTTAAATAAAAGTGCATCCCGGTATCATCAGAGACACTCTAAAAGTTACAAAACGTCCGTGGACTTGTATGTTCTAACGGTATTTTTCAGAAGTATTTTGCTCTCATTTTGTTTTTCCCCAGTAACTTTATCTCCAACAAAACAACATACAGGAAGAAAGTTAAACACAGGCAGAGGAGTTGAACTGAAGTTAGCGCTTTAGCATTAGCTTCTGCCAAATATTGTGTCAGTACAGTGCTTCAGCGCTAGCAGAGCTAGCATCCATGGTTGGTGGGTTAGTTAGCTCAACTAACTTTCTACTGCTACAGTAAACATCTTGTAATTCGGTTTAATACTTAACATCAAAGAAGATGATTTTAAAAATGTAAATGGATTCTAGATACGCCCACTGCTCTTTCTTCAAATTGCTTTTTTAGTTCTTGTTGATTAAAGAGACGGATCGACGCATGCTGACAGATTCGATACAGATCGCCTTCTGTGTTTGTAGGTTTTTATTGGTTTGAAGCATCAGCCGACACCAACCTGCAGTAGCGAAAAGAAAAGAAAAGCGCCACATTTAATCAACTATTATTGCTACAAAGAAAAGAAAGAAAGAAAAGTGTTGCGTCTCAGGTACCCGATCCCTAAATCCACACACTCGGAAGAGGAACGAGAAGGAGGAGGAAAAAATCAAACTGGCCAGTCGGAAAGAGGCAGAAGCTGGAGAACAAGCTCCGGAGGACAGGAAGTGTAGGGAGGAAGAGAAAAGAGAGAACGAAGGAGGGAGAGATCTGACCTTGCTGTCTGGTCACGGCAACCAGCAAGGGATGGAGACACAAGAGCGGAAGAGAGAGAGAAAGAAAGAGAGAGCAGCAGAGCGAGAGGTGAGTGGGGCGGAAAGTGAACGGATGATCAGATGGCCAGGAAGGGAAAGGATGACGAGGAGCAGAAGGTGGGATGGGATGAAGAGGGAACGGGGGGCACAGAAGAGAAACAAGCAGCATCCTCAGCATCTGACTCCCACAGTGACACCATTTCACACACCCACACACACTACTGCATTTGGGCATCACAGAGATTAAGTTATTACTGAAGCCCACTGAGGGGCGTGATCAAACTTCACACAGAACAAACAAAATCGAAACGATTTCTGATCTCTGACTGCGGGATGCTAAGCGCTAACAGCTCAGGCTGACAAGAACGCCGCTTTACTGCAGACGGTAATTTAGGAATCAGTGTGGTGGAAGTATCTGGAATCTACTTAGAGAAGCTGCAAAAGAGCGAGAGAGAGCAAGACTTTCAGCATGTAACAGAAAGGTTATCTGTTGAACCTTTCAGCAGACGTTCAGCAGCAAAGTCGCTCTATATATAAGAACCTTAATGTGACCCTGTTTCATGGCGCTGTTCTCCACCCACACAGTCTGGTGGCTCCTCTGCTCCTAATCGAAATAATTAATGACTGCTAAGGGCAGAAAGCTAAGGGAAAACATATACCTCTTCCTTACAAAAACTGGAGATTTGAAATCGGACATGTAAATCTAATGTGCGCAACTCTAAAAAAAGCAAATTGGAACTTAGAAAAGTCCCGGTGGAAGGGTACCAGACGGAGAGGAAAGGCTTGCAGCTAGAAATAAAAATAACTCTCCCTGGATCAATTTCTGGAGAGCTTGCGAGCGGGAAAGTCAATCCAGACGTTTTCCATCGTGCCTCCAACTTTGGAATTCAAGGACGATCGCTGGGATTCTTCTTCTGTTCCTACTGTCCGCTTATCAAAAAAAAAAAAAAAAAAAAAAAAATTTAAATGGCTCTTCAATTACACAAGACAATGAAAGAAAAGTGATTGCACTAGGCCTCAAGGGAACGTCTTTCTCAGGTATGTGGATTATCAGAAGGAAAAAACAAAGGCATTCTGTCATCGCTGCCAAACCGAACATCTGAAGGACGCTGGAAAGCCGGCAAGAAACCGAGACAATCCTGATGAATCCAGACCGCGTCTTGCGACCTTTAGTCACGCCTCACACAGACGATGACTGATCAACAGTGGCAGCCTTGGGAGCAATCAGAGGGAGCTGCCGACGAGTTGACTGAAGGTCACTTGCTTGCTTTGAAGAACACACTCGAGATCTGCCGTCCCCTTTACTCTGAAGCCCCTGAATAAACAAGATCGGGGCCTGGAAATCTGTGGAAAGATTGGATCTTCAATGGGGGAATATACATTCCTTTATAAACTCCGATCAAAGATCTGCTTGATAGGCATAGAGAGAGGGACTCGTCATTCGCCCCGGTCTGGGCCGTCACTAAATAGGTCTGCAGGCCACTGGGATCAGACAGCGCGCAGCAAGTGACCCGTCAGACTGCGACGGGGCCGATACGTAACCGGACTGTCGCTTGGCAGAGCTCACTTCCCCCCCATCGCCCCGGTTACGCAGAGGAATTGAGAGCGGCAATCTCCAAATCAGAAATAAAACCGTACTCATCAGATTCCTCTCGCTCGCTCAGCAGCATCAGTAAATCGGTTCTTGAACAGACGCTGGCGGTCTGATGGGAGGAGCTTTTGGTTTATGAAGCGAAGAAATGCCTCAAAACCAGCGCATATCTCAAACACGTTGCTTCTGTCTGAGGTAAAACAGAAGCAACGTTCCCAGTGGGTGCTAAAGCAACACACTGGCAACTTTCCTCTCAAAGTGTGTTTACAGGTTTTGGGGGAGCGCCGAGGGACAAAGTGGAGAGAGCCTTTTATGGTTCCAGCTGGAGAGGAGAGATGTCTGAGAAATTGCTTTGTCCTGACGTCGCCAAAGTTTCCTCCGGCTGCGAGCGGAGCGCTTTTTAAGAAACTTATAAACCTCTGGATTCAGAGACTGCGATAATAAGCTTCACCCACCTTTGTAGGGTTCACTTTGAGCGTATTTGAGGAAGGGAACAAGCAACTTTATCTCAATACAGGCAACGAAAATTTGAGTTGCATAAATGAACTCCTCACCTGTCCTGGACTTTCTGTCGGTTGTATCGGAGATGGAAATCCCGGAGTTCCTCTAACAGGCCTGTAGCCAGCATCTCCTCTACACGGGCGTCCAAGCGCCGGTCCAGAGCTAAAACACAAGACGTGTTTGTCTGTCCTGACGTCTACAAATATGGCGCCTTGCAAAAGTTTTCATACCACATGTCGCCAATCTCAAAAGTCTGCGCATCTTGTTGGGACTTGATGTGTCAGAGTAAACTCTTCAAGTATGGAAATGTTTTCATTGTTAACTGAAACATGTGATGTGAAATCGGACATGTAAATTTCTTTGACCCCCTTGAGTGGAGACTTTCTAGAACCAGTTATTGTTTTAATTAGAGCTGAAACTCTACCAAGAGGTGCACCGATTGCGGGTTTCCGGCCCATCGGGGATTTTTCAAAAGCCCAACATGCTGATTCCGATTTTGGCTGATGCCGATTATTTTGTTGGAGAGCATGCAATAAAGCCAGCCAAGTTAGCAACAGTGGTTGATGATTGTTAGCTGCGCAAGTGTGTCAATCAATCCTCAGTGGATAAAACTGGATTCTCATGCAAATATTGGCAGATCCCCAATCTCTGGAAATATCGGAAATTGGGCCCAATTTGTCTGCTTGCCGATTTATCGGTGCATCTCTAACGCTAATGAAATACTTTGTATCTAAAGAACAGGATTTTTCTCTAGGAAATGGCTCAAACTCAGTCTGATTGGATGTGGAATCAATTCCTTAGTTTTGCCACAGATTCTCAAATAGATTTAGACTTTGACCAGACCACTCTAACATACTAATTTGTGGTTTCTTTGTGGTTCTGATCCTGCTAGTATCTGGTGACAGATTTTCTTCCAGGTCGGCCCTGAATTTAGCTCCATCTACCTCAGCATGATGCTGCCGACCTCATATTTCCAACAGGTGTTAGCATGTTCAGGCTAATGTAGCGTTAGTTTGCATAGCATTTCACACACAGGCCAAAACGTTCAACTTCATACTGCCGTTTTCTATACTTCTTATAGCTCTGACTCAACGATGGCTTTCTTCTCGTCACTCACAGGAAAGGGCGGGGGGGTGGAAGAAAATGCACGCCACACTTTTAAGATTTTTATTCAGTATTAAAAAATATTTATCATTTTTCTTCTATAAAATTTGAGCATGCTAAAAATGTAAGTAAATGATGTACAAGAAGATGATGTCTGCCATCCTCACCCTCCATGTCTGCGTGCAGCCAGAAGATGCAGGGGTCAGGGAACCTCAGGGGCCCTCCGAGGCCATCGCCGCCCTGCCTCTGCTCCTCCAGCCAGCGGCTGTGAGGAACACCCGTGTCGTTGTGAATCTGAAGACTTCTGCAAACAAAAAGCGGGGAAAGAGGGTAAGCTCTCTCTCCGTCAAGCCAGATTCCTTTTTCTCGCCTCCAAAGTCTCTCCGGGTAAAACCGAGATTAGCCGAGTAAACCGCCCACTCATCCACTAAATCCGCTGCAAATTAAAACCTTCAGCTCCCTTTTCTGAGACACTAATTAATCACGCGGGTTAAGTTGTTGTGAACACTGACAACGACGACGACTGCTGGGTAACGCTCCCCAAGGACACGTGAAGAGATAAATAACAAGATCCCGCAAAGAAACGGCTTTGAATGCAAAGCGCATCTTTTTTAGTCACACCCGGCTGGACACCGAGGCCAGGAGGAAAAGATGACGCCTGTCAGCTCCAGTCTGAATAAAGAACAGGGTAACCTAACCTGCTCCCATAAAACACAGCAGATCCTGCTGCTACCCATCAAGCTGCGCTCACGAGAGGAAACCGGCGTGCAGCTGTCAGGCCGAGAGGGCCCAATCTCTTCAGGCTGAACCCAGAGAAAAAAGAAAAAAAAACCTAGTGGGAAGCAGAGCTGCTCCAAGGAACAAATGGTATAATTCAAGCTATGAACCGCAAGATATGAAAACACAAGGAGCAGCCTGGTGTGAAGCAAAGGGAAGATTATGTCATTTCTGCAGCTTTTTCTGTTTTGTTTCATCAAAACTGGTCTCAGTTGGATCTCAGTGGGGGAACCTGTATAAATAAATGTTAAATTTAAAAAAAAACTATTTTTGTTTTCAAATGGTGAAAACAAAAATACATGGAATATTCTAAAATACATTTTAAAAATTACAACAAAAAAAAACAGAAAAAAAACCCCCATTATTTTTGTTAATCCTAACTAGCTTAAAACAGGACTTGCTAAGTCTGATAAATGTGTGACAGGCAGCAATAAAACTGTTACTCCTCATTATATTGTGTGAGTTTAAATATCTGGTTTCAGCTGACCTTCATATTGGGCCCTTCAAACAAAAATAGACTGTTACTGATTAAAACTTATTGACTTTCTCACCATATTTACCAATTTCCAGAGTAAAACCCCTTATTGATGAAACCAGTTTTATCTCTTTCTCTGGTGGGAACGTTGTGAATGAAGTTCAGGGAACACGCGGTACGTTGGAGGCCTAATTTTATCAACTGCAAATATGAATCTGCAGCATTCGGCGATTCAGAAAAACAGCTCTAACTGCTGTGCTGTTTTACCTCAAAACGTGTGTCGCCTCAGAACATCCCAGGAAACTGCAAGATATTACTCACAAACGCGAGTTTAATTAACTCCTTTTATTCTGTAGCTGGATTGTTTCTAACTGCTTTGTTTTTCTTCTAGCAAGTATTTGATTCCTGTTATTTCCCCATTGCGCCGACGGCTTTCAGCGGCAACAACTTCACGCGTCACAATGAACAAAAAGAAGTAGCTTCCAGATGTAATAAAGCAATCTGTCAGGTGAGCTTTTGCTATAAATTGTGGATTATGAGTTTGGGGCCGAGTCCACGGCCCACCAAGTCGAAACAGGATATTGTTTAACTCCATCGTAATGGAAAATAGTCTCTGAATAAACAAGGAGCTCTTCAACGAGATTTACCTCTGACTAAAACTGAGGCAAAGATTCATGCTAGCAGAAACGCTATTACATTTTAGGTTACGAAGACTGGAACCTGCTTCTTTCACACTGCAGATTAAGTTTGTTTTTACTCGTGCAATGCTAAAAGTGTCTGTTCCTGTGACTAAACTAACAAATACAAAAAAAAGTGTTTTAGAAAGTGGTCAAAAACAGAACCAGCAGGTCAGACCTCAAAGACAATCACAAACTGACCAGAAAAAAAAAAAATTATGGTCCATTTTTCTTGTTCCTCCAATATTTTCATGAAATATGGAGAAAAACAATCATAAGACTGTTTAGTCGTCTCACACGATTTAGTCTGATCGTACGTTATCTGTTTAAGCTTTGCATCACATCCCATTTATTTTTGCTCCGGTCCGACTTTGGGCTGCCGTGACTCCTGTATTCAACGGAAAACGACTCCAAATCAAACCAGAACCAACCGGAAGCGACAACAATGTGGCCGCACAGTGTAAATGAAAGCGAACGTTTAAGCCGTGACGCATGGCGACATTACCAGCTGCGTCACCTGGCTATCTTGCGCTTGTCATTCGGGTGCAGCATGGCGGCCATTTTGGGGTCCACCTCAGCCAGCCTTTCATGCAACTCCTCTCCTCCCAGCTTCTCCAGCTCCATCTTCTTGCTTTGGCCTCCGTCTGCTCCGTCATGCAGTTCATCCTCCTGCTGTGAGGCATGTTCGCGTCACATGTCTTCAATTATTCAAGGCTTTTTAGCTGAGATTTAACTAAATGTACAAAAAACCCACAATGTATCATTAGTGTACTAATAAAAAAAAAAAGAAAAAGATGATTCCAAACAAGCTAACTAGACAGCACCAAATCTAAACCCTTGACTTAATATAAAGAGAAGTAAGGAGGATGATAAGTATTGCATAAACTCGCTCACCCCCGTGTCCAGCAGGACCTTCCACAGCAGAGACTCGATGTAATAGTTTGTTCCTCCTACAACGATGGGCAGCTTGTTTCTGCTGTGCATGTCACCGACGTTGGAGCACGTTAAGGAGGACGTCGTTGCGTTTTGTCTTAAACAAATAAAAATAAAATTCCACCCTTTGTATAAGTTTTAGTTATTGAAGTAACTTAAAGGGAGTGTTGGCAACCTACTGGGTAAAACTACCCACTAGCTTACGGGTGCAACAATTAATTTCCTCATATTCATGCAGTTGGCTGATGCTTATGTAAGAAACCAATTTGATCTTTTGCTACAAATCAGCCTCTGCCCCGTTATCCTACCCTACCCTGCACACTAGGCCACAACTGAATGCGAGCGGTTAACGCTAATAAATTGGTATCGGCCAAAATCGGACTTGTTAGAAAATTTTTTTCAAACATCCATGACTGGCTAGCAAAGAGTCGGTGCGTCCCTATTAAAGATGTAGGAGAGAGATAATGGATGCTTGCGTTTTACTATCATCTCATGATTCCTCACTTTGAATCCTCACTTCAACTCCAACGAATGAGCAACAGCGAAAACAGGGAGACTGGAGGACGTGAGCTCTTTGGCGACGCAGACAGAAGTGCCACACCTTATTTCCTCTGTCGCATCTTCTTTCATCCTGAGCCTCCTCCCCCGCCGCCTCTTACTGTGGGCTAATCAAATAACCCCTCAAACCAGATAAGAGCCCATCAGGCGTCATCACTCGCATTTTGTCCACTTACAGGCCTGCCTCTCTGCACTCGTGGAAGAGCGGAGGAAGGTTATTGACAAGCAGCAGCAACAAAAATCAAGAGGATGGGAAGCCACGGGGGGGAGGGGCTTATGCAAGTGGCGTGTTTTAGTGGTGTGGGGGGATGATGCGACATCAGATCCCGCGTCCTCAAACTTAAGCTCACACTGACTCCCTGTTTCTCTCCTTTTCCTCCTAATCTGTATTCAGCTCTTCCTCTTCGCCACCAGCAGGTTCCTGCTGCACTGATCCTATTCTTGGAGCTCCCGCATCTCCTCAAAGTGTGTGTGTGCAGGAAAGAAAATGGGAAATGAGCGTGTGTGTGTGCAGGCGCCGATCTATTAATACCTCCCTCTTTCTCTCTCTCTCTCTCTCTCTCTAGTTATCGCCTGCTCTCTGCACATCTGTGTGATGTGGCCAGCGTCTGCGGGGCGTGACTGCCCAGAGCCGGCGCCTGTTAGCTGGCGTGTTTGTCAAGACACACCGCAGACGCACTCCGCTATAAATATCAACTCTACTGATCTCCTGCTTTGCGTTTTTCCAGGAAAACATCTGCAAGAGGCAAGAATCTGTTTACACGGTGTCAACAGAGCCAATTAGTACATCAGACCTGCCAAGTTTTCCCGCCAAATGATCTGCCGCGTGGCGGGTCGATAGCACGGCGTGAAATCAGGTGGAAGAAAACATTTGCAGAGTTCAGGATATGAGCTCCAGCGCTTTGTTCCTGAAGTCCACCACCGTGTAGGTCCGCACCAACGGGTCCACGAAGTCCAACATGTGGTGTGTGCATTGGGCGCGCTCCTCGGCAGTCACCTTATTTGTGATGATGTCCAGACCCTTGTACACCTGCGAGGGACAGAAATGAGTACCTATTAAAATATGCAGTAGTTGGTGCGACTCTCTCTTTTGCTTCTGACTCCAGTTCTGTTCCTCTTTACAGAGGACAATGTTCGGGTCGGGCACTGATCGTACTGTTAATCATTTCTCGTGATAAATTTGTGCCATGATAATGTCTTGATTTATCATTGTCATCACAAATTCCAATTAATGATGTTTAAAATAAAACCTAAAATTGCCCTGTATTGTCAGGATTGTTCTTTTTACTATTTTGCTCCAATCTGAGCTTCTGTAAAGCCCACATTAGCTTTGTGCTCCCACTTACAGGTGAGTATTTGTTGTATTGTTATTTATTGTGATGAATTTTGTGGAACACTTTCGATCCATTATTGTTACGATACGTTCCTCTTAAGGATGTTTACCCTCCAAAACTGTCCGTAGTAACCAGATCGTTAGTTTTAGTATTTTCCGTAATGTTTGTTGAATTAAGGTGTATCAATAAATATTGATAAATATGATTAAATGCAGCCACTTTGTGTATTTTTGCAGGTTTAGATTTCAAAATAGTTTCATCCAACCAAGAAGTTTGTTTTCCGATAGGATTTCCGACAGGCATCCGTCGCAAAACTTGAAAATACAATCTGTTTTATTGACATTGTATCAAAAAATGTCATGCTGAAAATAACCTATACCCTCTTCAATAATCAGTTGCTGTACATCTAAATGTACCCGGCGTGTGCAGAACTTTGGGATTGCCGCCAACATCCAACAGCAGTCCACACGCTGCCTCCTGTTTCCATCGGTGAGTGAGGGAATGTGATAGCTGGGTGACAAGCAGCGCCCCGTTGGGATTTTCATTTCACACACAGTGTCTGGAGTTTGAACAGATGCAGGACACCGTCTGCTGGGACGTCCCGCGCTCACGTTCCCCTTCTCTGGCTGCTTTAAAGTTCTGGTAGGAGACGCAAACCTTGTGGACAAAAGCCTAATTTTTTGTCACTCGTCAGCACATTCAGTTTGGTGGGTAATGACATTGTTGTTGGGAAAAAAAAAACAGTACAGTTGTATGTTTTTTAATCATATTTTAAAATTATGTCACTTTTAATATAGCTTCTGTGTAGAATTTTCCAAAAGGACACTGTCTGTTGAATGAGAGCTCAAATAATTTTGTGTTAAATTATTACGTTATGATTTAGAAAGATTTTGGTGGATTTAATTAACGTTACTTCAATCCAAATACAAACAGAAACAGTTACATGCAGACCTTCAACCAGAGGTCCTGTGAGATTTAACAATTTGGAAAAGCCAGAATGTTCCTCGTTTATGTGGCGTCACGAAGCGCAGAGTAGTAGCTGTCAGCACTTTGTCCAAGCTAAAGGTGGACATTTTTCCTTTAGAGTCTCATCGAGAAACAAAACGGAAGTTATTTATGCTTCGTATAGGTTTGTCCGCTTCCAGCTGTGGACACCACAAACTAAACAGTTAGCTGCGCTAATGCTAAAGCGCTAGTCGTTAACATGAGTCCACTGTATGTCCACCACAAGATGAGTTAGCTTCCAAGTTCAGAGGTAAGTGAATGACAGGACGATACACAACAACAACAACAACAAAAAATTAAGCACTTTTGACATACCACAACTGGCTAACGCTAAACTCATCGCCATTAAACTTCACTCAGTTTGGTTTCAACCTGAAGCTCAATCGCTCAGCATGTAACGCGTCGATGGAGTCATGTTGGAGATTTGTTACAATTCCTCCACGTTTCTATAAGGATAGACCATGTACGTTAGCTCTGAATGCTCTATAGAAGGTCAGCAATACGACACACTCCAGGAAACAGACATGGGTGAACCAGTGAGGGTTATTGATCACATCCTTGGAGAGGGGCGTAAAAAGGGGCAAGGAGGCTCATAATGTACTCCACCAAATGTTTCTCAGCTCTGCAGCATGCCAAAAAGAAAGGAGCAGGGGAGGGCGAAGGAACCCAGAGTGATAAATTATGCACGGCCTCTCTGCATGACAAAACCACGAGCCGATGAATGGATGATCTATGGCTGAATGATACTGTATGGAGACCCACAAGGCTTAAACAGCACACTGCATTTGAAATCTGGGGATCTGTGTATTTCGAAGAAAAATAGAGACTTTTTTATTTTAACAACACACGTTTTTCAATGAATATACATTTAAAAAACTGAATTTCATATCCGGAGAAACATTTACGTGAACAGAGTTAAGAGCCAATTCAGTTTTTAACCATCAAAATGATGATTGCGTCAACTTCTTCCCCTACGACATTATTTAAATAGAAATGGAAAATTTTACTTGTCCTATAAAAAACATTTTACAATTTGTATTAGTAGCTCATATTCTCTAAAACCAGCACCAAATAGAAAAGCCACTTTGGACAAATACACTCCACATTTAAAAAAAACAAAAACAAATAAACATTTTTCAACAAAACAATCAGTAGTGCAAGAATGAAAGCAAGAAAAAAAAAAAAAGATTACAAGAAAGTACAAAAAAACAAGAAAGAAGGAAAGTGAGGACAAAAGAAGGCAGGAAAGGAAGAAAAGAAACTGAAATAAAGTGGCTTTATATCAGTAAAGCCACTTTCTCTGTTCTTAATGGCTTTAATGTACATCAAATAGAGGCAGAAAGATCCGCTCATTAATTCCTCGAAGATGAAGAAGACGAGTGAAAACGCAGGTGATGTAATTTCAACGTGCAAAGAGAGTCACTCAACTGGAAAATGTGGAGAAGTGGGAAATGAAAAGAAGAAGAAGAAAAAAAAAAGCTCTGAGCGAGGGCAGCAAATGAGAGAAAATGAGAGAGAAATTAAGACTTCAAGTCGAGGCGGTGGAAAACGAGCTACAAATTGCTGCGACGTTGGAGCTCGGAGTCATAAAGAAATCAAAGACGAGAGCCGCCAAAGCTAATGGTGTTTACGCGTCGTCTGGAGGAGACGAAAAGGAAATGCCTTCACAAATCCATAAATTAAGACAAGCGCATAACTTCTTCGCGGCCTGCTAAGTAAATACGTGAAATGATGCTCATCATTTTCCCCTGGCCGTCGGCTGAGCCGGAGCGACGACACAGAATACGGTTATCAACAGACGGACAGGAAAAGAATCGATAATCACTTGCATCTAGCGGCTCATACTTTACACCGTCCGACGATTTAAAACAAGAAAAAATAAATCCATAAAGCGGTTTTGGAATAATCTGCAAAAGATGCCGGCAAGCGTTTTTTCCTTTTAGAGAACAGAACAATTTAGCTCAAGCTCTCAAACTATTGACATGAAAAGCCACTTTTTTGTCTTTTTTAAAACATTTTGTCATGTGGAGGCCTCAGAGGAGTTTCTTTAAAAAAGAAGAAAACAAAGACAACAGTGCAAATAAGTCAGAGGAGAAAAAAAAAACATCAAAACAAGCTGTGAACATCTCGTAAGAACATTTTGTCATGATAGGTTTTTCTGGACGACAAATCGTTCCAGAGGTCATTGCGATAAATGTTACCTTGAAACAATTTTTGATTATATCAGTAATATAATGCTAATGGAATAATAATGCAAACACACTGACAAAAACTTAAAAGATGGAAATGGAAAACATTTTAAACATCCAAGATAAATGAACCAAACATTTGAATGGGAGGGCAGTCGTTGTGTCATTGTTCCCGTTGTGTTTTTGGGTTAAAAAAAAACGTTAAAAGTTGACAGGAAATTTCTCACAGTCCAGCGGACTGGCCAACCTTACCAATTATCAATATCTCTTGATAATTATGTGTTATTGAAAGATCGAGGATTAATACCTGAACACCAAGTATAAAAGAGTTAAAAATACAAACATTTTATAAAGACTTAAATACATAAGCAATGCTAAGCCTGGAGGGAGCACAAGTAAAGCCTGGTGGCCCGCCAGTCTTATAGTACATTGGGGTGGAAACCCTCACATTCATAGGCTAGCATGACCGAGTCATTTGATTTGTGGTTGAAGTGGGACAAAATGTGACTGAGTTCAAAGGCTCTGAATGCTTTTCCGAGGCGCTGCACTGGGAAGCTACGTCAAGGCAGCGAAGGAATGAAACAACCCGTGACTCTTTGGAAGAAGCAGAAAAGAGAATCCCTCAGGAAATGTTTCGGAGTCTGAACTCATCACCTTAAATGTCTCTGATTCCTAATCTCATAAAAACCTAGAAAATTGGGGAGGGAGAGAGCGGGGGATTCAGGTGTGTCGGTTCCCCTCCTCCTACCGTCTTACTGTGAAATGAATGTGAATGGATGTGACCGAGTGGCTTAACGGGAGCGTGTGTGTGTATGTGTGTGTGAGACAATGAGCTCAGTGTTTGAGCCTGCAGTCCAGCGGACTGACCAACCTTACGCTCTGCACGAGACAGCTGTTCCTCTGCCACATAAACGCGGAAGGCAGAATAGAGCAAGAGAGAAACAGAATAGAGGGAGGATAAATGAAAGGGGTGCAGAGAACAAGCGCTCATTCAGGAAAAAGACAAGAAACGGACTGAAGCCAAAGGGGGAAATGTTACTAATGAAATGGATACATTTTAACCAAGAATTATTTAGGGAGCTTAGTTGTTATTATGGTTTGTGTGCATACAGAGCTACTAATAATATTATCACCTTTGCAGACTCTGCATTTTATGGCCCAGTCAACAAGTAGCCAGGTCTTTTTAAAACAATGTAATAGAGATATTAGTTTCTATAACATAATCTCGTCCACACCTGATCGGTTTAAGAAAAGTGTTCATCCCGCTGAATCACACCGCTTTGTGTTGTTTTAAACATGCCAAACCCATAGGGGGCACTGTAGGGCAAAGCTAAAACCTACATCAGCCAATCACAATCCTTCAAACAACTTCCTTGGATTATACATGTTTACATCCATGTTTGGATTTAAACATGGCGCTAAGAGAGGCATTGTGTGGACACAGAGAGGTTGAGCTACTTTTAAATGCAGTGTTAGAATATAAAAGCATGTGGATGTTGAAC